CCCCCTGACTTGAGGCGGCGGTTCGAACGACATGCTGAACAGGCTTCAGGCGTTGGATCACATTTTGCTAATATATATATATATATATATTTGAGGAACACTAACACTGAAGAATCAGAGGATGCTACTAAACTTCCAGACATATACTATAAAATAAGTGTGTATTTGAATTGGAAGACCCTCCGACTCCAACCAACCCACAGCTATGAGCAATTGCCCTCAACAAGCCATTGGGATCCGCTCATTGTGGCTGATGGCGAAGATTTATCGAGATGCAGGTCGTGTGGTGGACACTGGGTGGCAACCATTGGGGCGGAGCCTCGTTTGTACGCGCGGAATTTCCCTCAAATATACACGCGGAGAATTGATCTCGTTTTTGCACGCGAAACTCGTTTGTACACGCGGCTCCCTCGTTTGTACACGCGGCTTACACGGCTGAAAAAATGAATGAAGGAATGAATGAATGAATGAATGCATGAATGAATGAATGAATGAATGGAACCCGACCAGATTGTTTCACAATCTGAACCTTGTTGTCTCATTTTACGTCCATCGCTTTAGATGCGCATGAATGTCCAGAGGGACGTTATTAACACCCCCCCCCCACCCATCCCAACCCAACATCATCAATCAAACGCAGAGCGTCTGTGTGACGTGAACCTGTGGAAGCAATGAGCAAAAAGAGATCATCATGTAGATGAATGTCCAGAGGGACGTTATTAACACATCATCAATCAAACGAAGCAATGAGCAAAAAGAGATCATCATGACTGAATTGGTGTGTGCGCAAATGAGGCGAATCATGTGTGCGCATTTGAGTTTGGGGTAACATGGGCTGTTTAAAGAGGAATGTAATCGATGTGTGCGCAAATGAGGGGAATCATGTGTGCGCATTTGAGGTAAATATATAAAAAAGTCTGTGTGCAGATTTGAGGGGAATTATGTGTGCGGAAATGAGGCGCCATCCGGTTGGAGGTCAATGGAGAATGTGTTCCACATGTTTGCCCCACCTCACGTACAGTAGAGAGATATGTAGAGATCATAGGGAACACCCTTGGCATCCAAAAGCATGATAAATCCTCACATTTGGAGAGGGTTTCTATTCTGCTTTTAGGTGTGGGCATTGCACGTCACAGAACCCCACGTCGAACCGTTGGTTCCACAGCATCCCATGCAAACAGTGTAAGAGAGGTTGCATGTGGTTACTGGGTTTGCATTTGTTTATCGGTGAAATCTTCATTCCTCAAAGCCTCAGTTGAGTAGTAGATGGCATACGCCTCAGATCTATATCAACGATTGGTAGGCTGCTGCACCGTCTCCGTACTTTGACGGCCTCAGGATGATGTCCTTGCGAAGCGCCGTGGGCTCAAGGCTGCTCTGTACCTGCACGACTTCCAGGACAGCTTTGCAAAACACAAGTTGTAGCCGAGAGATTTTATCTGAGTGGCACCCAAGTAGAGAATGTGTGCGTCAGTTCATGTTTTTCTGTAGTTGTCGTTGCTGTTAGAGGAGCTTGCTCAACAAACAGTAAGGTCTGATGAAGGGGAGAAAAACTCAAGCTGACCTGCTGTGTTACCTAGGTACTTAGGTACCTTTTAACCAGAGGGTTCTCACACCAACTGATGTCGTGCATTGTGCCCTTTACCAGAGGTCAAGCTGGGCACTCCTCATGATATCTCCGACACACACACACACGTTTATGTCACCCAACTGGCAACTTGCAATTTGATAATTTGTGCAGTGTTCTCTAAACATGTTGTTCGATATTCTGTGATACTATATAGTGTAATGTACACAATTGTGTGAACATTTCCCTTGGCAAGGAACTCTCAAGCCTTCTTGTGGGGTCTAACGTGACTTTATTCGAGTCGTTTCCCATGTTGCGTCCGACTGGCCCAACATCCACAAATTCACCCCAAATGTTGCAACATTCTCAGTTTATAGTTCGAGGACCCTCGGGCCATTTGCAAGTTGTCCGCTTCAACTCTAGCGCACAGCGAGGCTTTGACAAAGGTCCTGGCTGAGGCGTGGTTTGCTTCGTAAGCCTTTGGTTCCTCAAAAGCTGCACGAGTAATTGTATAAAGGTGGGTAGGAGTCGTAGGAGTACAACCTTGCTGACATTGGGCGGTCAACCAAGTACTACGTGGCTTGCAGCCTGCCATGCTGTCATGATGGCAGGGCTTCCAAAAGGCGCCTACTGTTGTAACTTTGCTCCATTACCAGGACCTTCCAAGAGGTGTCTATAAATAGCCTCTTAGAGGTTAAGAGGTGGCCAAAAACCACCTTTTCGAAGGTCCTGGTATTGGTGGTGCTGTAGTATCTTGGATCCACCCGTAAGGGTTATGATTGCTGTATATACTTTGCCAATCACTGCTTACGTGTCCTCTTCCAAACAAACAAGGAAGTGACTGGCCAAGACCGCTGCCAGGCACGCTTAGAGACCAGTGGCCTCTTCCTGGTCATGGCCTTCGATCTCCTCTTGGGCCAAGGCCTGCGCGGTGGCGGCCAACTCCGTCGCCGCTTCGATGCCGCCGCGCTCCGCCTCCGCCGCGCCTGGGCGTCGAGGGACCCGCCGAGCGCTGGCGCCGGAGGCGCGAGCGAGGTGGGCTGGGCGGCGCTGCCGCGCTACGTGCGGGTGAACGGCGTGAAGATGGGGAAGACGGGGAAGAAGGCGGTGCTGAAGCAGTTGAGGAAGGCCTTGAAGGAGAAGAGGGCTCAAGAGCTGCAAGAGGGGAAGGAGGTGGAGCCTGAAGTGGCTGAGGTGAAGGACTGGTGAGCCAAACAAACGTAACACAACGTTTCCGGGTCCCATTGGTTCTCACCTTGACACTACCAACAAGGTGGATGACTCACTGTGAACATTGGTCACGCCATAGCCCCTACAGAGCTGGTGCCGGTTAGATGGAACGTTTTGATTAATTTGAGCCAGTTATTCAGACACCCCAACAACATCCCCCCAGAGCCAGAACCATTTGCCATCCTTCCACAAATCCTTCAGGAAGATGAGGTGGTGCCCAACGTGCTGGTACTTCACCCAAGCTCTCGCGCATGGCTTCAGAACCTCCCAGAGGTCCTCAGTGGTCAACTCGTACTGCAGGATCGCTCCAGCTGTTTATCCGCCTTGGCCGCTGGCTTGACGCCAGGCGTGTGGAGCATATCTGGAGCTCAGGAAAAACGGTGTTATTGTGCAAAGCTATTTTGATGATGTCTTTCTTTGTGGGACCAGGGCGGGCCTTAGACAGGGCAATATGGCGAAAAAGGGCAGGTGCAACACAAGCTGAACCCAGGTACACTCTGGAAGATTAACATGGAACCTGAAAACCACTGCTTTGTAGAGGAAAATCGTCTTCCAGTCTGGTCCATGCCAAGCCCGATTCCATGTGAGTCTCTTCCCGGGTTCTTCCCACGACCGTCAGGGACCACGGTCGTGGACTCCTGCGCAGCACCGGGGAGCAAAACCTCGCATGCCATCGACCTGCTTGAGGGCAGCGGCCGCCACCTGCACGCAGCGAATGCGCAGCGCCCGTCACACCGCGCAGCGGATGCGCATGTACTGGTGTCCTATGTTTACCCATGTTGAGATGGTGGATGATCGTAGTGCGGGTGGGAATTGGCAGGGGTAATTGGCATGTGGTGGGCTTCCAGAAGTCCTCGGAGGTTTCGAAACTTACCATGCCAAGCTTCCACAGCCTGCCTTTCTTGACAGAGTGCATTGATGAGGGTCCGTATGAGGGGCATAATTATCCTTTCCTCCAGCAGTATCGATAACGGAACGGTGATGCGTGACGTACTGTGAGCCCCTTCTTGAGCCCTGTTTTCATATCAAAAGGCCATATTAGAGGTCACGACCAGGTTCTAGGAATAGTAATAATACTGTAATAATATATATATATACACATTATATATACATAGATCTATATAATATATGATTGTTTATATACTTCAAAACATTCAAAAACACCGCCTTGCATGCCTTAGTTGTCTCCTTTCGAGGTATGTTTGCCTTCGAGAAGGATCCCAAAAGGGCCTCCTCTTTATTGGAGCGGCTACGTCTTTTGACCGGCTTTCAGGAGGGGGCGAAAAGCAAGGTGATGCCAGGAAGCAGCAAGACCCACAATAGCCAGACATATACTGGCATATAAGATAGCATCATTCCACATCATTCCAACATAGCAAGTTAGCAAGTTCTGCCAGAAACAGGTTTCGCAACAACTATGTAGCGTGTTTGAGGATAGGTCCATTGAGGGAGGTCAGTCCGGCACCCATGAAGTCCAGTTCGGCTTTTTGTCTCGAGGAGGTCGCCCTTCACACCCGGACCAAAAAGAGCAAAGCGAACCGCGCAAGCCGCGCAAGTGCTGCGCTGGCACGAGGACGCTGCTTGCCAGTGGGCTCAAAGCCCGGTGTTGAGGCCGGCGGATGTGTGTCGACGCTTGAAAATCCCGGAGGGGCTCAGGGTACAGCCTATAGGAGGTTCTCCATGTGTTTGTTTGGCCTTGATGACCTGCTATAAGTATCTAGAAGTACCGTATGCAGAATCAGTGAAGGCGGATCTTGCTCAAGTGCCCTGCAAGGGGGTGTGATTTAGGTAGTGGTGTGTAATGGTCATGGTTGAGCCGA